GTTCTGACTATGGACGGTAGGTGAATGAGCCATTGGGGGAGGTTAGCCTCTGACCCATCCCCCTCTGCTTGAGGCCCCCTCCCTTCTGTCCCCCCTCCCATGCTGGAGCTGCCGGTCCCCCAGGTGCCCACATCTCCAGAGCAATGGGTAGTTGGCACAGTTGGAGTGCCCCCAGAACCAGGCCTGGAGGGCCAGGCGGCACGGTCTCAGTGCCCCCAACTCCAGCCCCAGAGTGCCGGGCAGGCAGCGTGATGTGGCCCCAGCGCCCCCAGCCCTGGGCCTTGTGAGCACTGGCCCCAGAATGCCTGCCTCAGCCTCTCAGCCAGGAAGAGTGGGAAGAGAAGCAGGCAGGATGGGATCTGGGGGCAGAGCACAGGTGGGGCCACACCAGGCTGTTGGGGAGGCACAGCCACCTATGACACCTGCCACCTATGGTCATGACCCATTTCGGGGTCCTGACCCACAGTTTGAGAACCCCTGGATTAGGTAGAGGTTTTAAGGCAACCTGTACTTGGCTGAACACTGTCTCCCATGGCCGAGGTGCAAAAGGAGATGCAGGCTTAGCATGAGGATTATTCATGAAAAATAGGCCTTCAGAAAGTTTTAAAAATGTACATATCCTTGTAATATTAAACCCTAATCTTACTTCTCTTATCAGCAACACTGTTCTCAAGCAGTTAGAAACTGCTCTACAACCTCTACTAATCTAGAGTCTGACTTTCAAATTAGAATAGATTTTTCTTGCACCACTTTGAGAACTGGGAACACTATTCCTTTGTCCGACCCACAGCTTATCCTGATAATCAGTCACAACTTCAGTGCTAGGTACAAGAGGTCATGACCTCGGCAAAATAAAACACACTTTAAAAAATGCAAAGTGCTTACTGGTATAAATTGTACATATGGGTTTAGATTGTCAAAAACAGGAGCCTAATGAAATTAGTCTTCTAAATCTATATTTAGGCACCTAAAAACCTGGCTTGATTTTCCACAGGGTTGCGCACCCAACAGTTCCTATTGGCCTCACTCTGAAAATTAACTAATTGTGCTCAAAGAGGAAGACTTGCCTTCTGAAGGAATAGAGTAGAGGGGCCTGGAACAAAACTTCAAGAGCTGATATAAAGCAATTGCCTCCTGCACAGTAATTATGAGGGAATGAATGGGATACAATACACTCCAATAACCATTGTATCTGGGTCAGACCCAGGCCATTCCCCGCTGCTCATCATACTATGAGTTTTGCCTTAACCTTGGACTTGTCCAAATGCTGCCTACAGTATGATACCTGGAAAGTCACATAAAAATTAATAGGTGTAGTGAGTGAAAACATTACACCCCTTTTCCATTTGATAGACTTTTGCTCCTGTGTATAAATACACAACTTTCAAATGAGCAGGAACTTGATTCCAATTGTTTTACATTATAACACAGTAAACTCTTTACATTTTCACAATGTTGGGACCAAATATTATAGATTAACATGGCTATTATAGACGGTTCAAATGGTGATGACACAGTAAAAAGCTCATTCCCACAGGCAAGGTTTCAGAATAAGGTCACAGTAGGAACGATGTTTTTCAGTTCTATTGCACTTGAGAGGTTACACACCTCTTAAGAATGACTAAAGCCAAGACTTCTGTGTAATGAGGCGGGGAAAGGTACAATTGACAAAGCAGATTTTTAGCACAAAGCATTCAGTGGCAGTTGCTGCCAGTGTCCTTTTGTAAGGGTCAGACTGTTTAGAATCCTTTACTTCCTGAACGTTATAATATAGCAGGCATTAAAGACCTTTTAATTTAATTTAAAACCTAAGGCAGCCCCAGCTATCTTGACTTTCCATGGAAAAGACTATCTTTTAGGGACGAATTCGCTACAAGTCCTAATCTTTGTTATGCAGCATTGTGCTATTGCTGCCAAAAGGACTCTGGCAATCTCTCTTGATAAAGAAAACAGAGGGTGCCCTAGGCTGCAACAGGTAATTGGGAAGGCATTCTATGGAGGAATCTAGGAAACGGGGAGGGGATGGAGAAACCTGACTAGCTGATCAGAAAAGACCCAGGAAAATCATATGAAAGGTCTACTCAGGAATGTCTTTATAATTGGCCAATCAAGAGCTGATCTTTGCTGGGGGACAAGGCAACTGAAATTGCAGTGGCTTAACCATCTGACAGACCCAAAGGCAACAGCAGATTTGTCAGTACAACTTGCAGCTGAAGCTGGCCAAGGAGTCAGATGCTACCTCTTCCATAGGTCTGTCTGGCAGCCAATTAAGCCCCATGTGTGCCCTATGGGGTCTGATGCCATTAAGGTTGCCAAAGTGCACTTACATAAAGTAGAAATAAAAATCACCATGTAACAAGCCCACACCTGAATGATTCATTGTTTTCCTGTGCTTTGTAACAATTCAGTGACAAGTGAAGTGTTCCAAAGGATCAGAAATCTTTAAGAGCTTTGGACCGAGTCTTCCACACTTAATTTTAAAGGGATTAGTATTCATATGGAGCAGGGTGGGGGTTGTGGGTTTTTTTTTTTGTCATATTATAGCATCAGATTCTCACTCTGGCTCTTTGAAATTTAGTTTTGTGCATGCATTTCATGGGCTGATGATATCCTCTTCCTCTAAGAAGTTCTGCTCTGTTCAGATACTAGAAAAACGAAGGTTTTCCAGATCAGTACATTTCCCCTGTTTGTGGCGGAAGAGCCCTACTGAGGGGTTACTTTCCAGCAGAGGAGGGAATTGGCACAAAATCAAAACTAAACCACATGATACCCTTAGTAACAGGTGGAATCTCAAGAGCGTAAGAGTTAAATTAAGTCCAGCGGCTTCAGGGCCCAAGCATCATCCTGAGCCACAATTCGAAAGCACTGGCTACATAGCTATTTTTAGAGCCCCACTAACTCAAGTCTGTCTTCTCAGGCTGGGAGGGTCACTGCCAAGGGCGGTGTAGACATACCCTAAGTCAGGGGTCGGCAAACTTTTTGGCCTGATGGCCACATCTGGGTATGGAAATTGTATGGTGGGCCATGAATGCTCATGAAATTGGGGGTTGGGTTGGGGTGGGGTTGTGGCCTCTGGGGTAGGGCCAAAAATGAGGAGTTCAGGGTGTGGCAGGGGACTCTGGGCTGGGGCAAGGGGTTGAGGTGCAGGGGGAGGGGGGTGAGGGCTCCAGCTGGGATGCAGGCTCTGGAGTGGGGGTACTGGAGGGTGCTCCAGGCTGCAATTGAGGGGTTTGGAGGGTGGGAGGGGGGATGGAGGGGGTGCAGGCTCCGGGCGGCGCTTACCTCAAGCAGCTCCCAGAAGCAGCGACATGTCCCCTCTCTGGCTCGCAGAGGGTCAGGCAGGTGGTTCTGCACACTGCCCCATTTGTAGGTGCCGCCCCTGCAGCTCCCATTGGCCGTGGTTCCAGGCCAATGGGAGCTGTGGGGGCAGCATGCGGAGACCCCTGGCTGCCCCTATGCGTAGGAGTCGGAGGGGGGACTTGCCTCTGCTTCCGGGAGCCACGCGGAGCCATGGCATGTACAGAGTGGGGCAAGACCCCGACCCTGCTCCCCAACGGGAGCTCAAGGGCTGGATTAAAATATCTGAAGGGCCGGATGTGGCCCCAGGGCCATAGCTTGCCCACCCCTGCCCTAAGTGGTGCCAAAGTCCCAGGTCAATGTCAGGACAAAACCTGCTGGTGGGTGACTTATCAGAGAAGAAACACTATGTGAAAGATTCCTTGCACATTCATGCCTCAATGTGCTGCCACGCCTACTGTGTAATGTTCCACTGCATAAGTCAGGCATGCTGGTCATATACAGGTAATTCATGCATCATAAGCATCTTAATTATTTGATGTTGAAGATACTAAAGGGGAAATTAAGCAAAGTCTGTACAAACCTCGTACAGCCCCTCACACGCAATACCATGCTGCCTGTATTATGCTGTCATAGATAGACTTCTGTTTACATATATTTGGTTCATACTTGTGATATGTTAGAGATGGTCTCTGGCGTAACTTATCACTGAATCATCCAACATATCTATTGGGACCACGGTTTTATCCTGCACAAATGAAAACATATTTCAGAAAATGGTATCTCCATTCAAGGAAGATGATCAATAGACTCTTGAAATATGGAATGCCTATGCAGCCTGCTCTATCTATAGAAGTTAGAACAAGCTAACCAAAATAAAGGAAAAACCCTACATCAATTCAGCCACTTCTACTGAACTAATTACTGACTGAACACTAACAGTGTTGCTACTGTAACCAAAGGAGAAACCAGGAGTGAGAATGGATTTGTCCTACAGCCACCTCAAGGGGGAAAAACAGGACAGTAAAATGTTAAGCAGTGGGATGTACCCCTCATCCTATTCCCAGTGGTTGTACCTGTAGGGAGTATTTTTTTTTCAAGTGAAGATTTGCAAACGCCTCGTCTTAGCCTATTCAGTCAGATCTGCAAAATCAGATAGAAATCCTGCTTCCATTATAACAGGAAGAAATCTGCCAGTGTTTTCAGCATATACACTTATTTTCTTCCAAAGAGCCATGTCTGGGAAAAGGATGGGCACTTGTGCTTTAAAATTCAATTGCACTTGACCACCAAAACTTTGTTGTACAAATGTAAATAGTTTATACTTTTGAGAAATGGGTAAAATATAGCAAGTACTGTGCATTAGAAAACTTTGCAAAGATGTTTCCCTTTCAGACAATTTACTTTTCTGTTTTAGCATAGATATTTTTATTTAGCAAACCTACCATATGAATAATATTTCATTACCTTTTATTTTAACGTCAACAAAAAACAAATTACTCTGGCTTCTCTCAGTAGCTGAAATAGTGTTGTTTTTTGTTGTTGCTGTTTTTCAAGGCAAGTTTTGCTAGGCAAAGCAACTTCAAAACAGAGCAAAAGAGGAAGATTGAATGGATTATTAGGGTCTTGGGTAACTACCAGTATTACAAAGTGTAACAAATGCAAATGGCACTGACACATTTCAGCTTCTTTGTCGTTTCTGTAATATACCAATGCATTATGAAATTCAGGTACTATCAAAATAATTAACAAATATATATTGATGCTGATCAGTTTTCAGTTCATATCAATTATGATCAAAGTAAGATAAAGAGCTTGGCCCTGATCCTACAAGCGGATCCATACCCACGTATCTTAACTGGCATCATGGGAGCTCCCCACAGGCAGAGGCGCTGGAACAATTTGTGTAGTGGGGGTGCTGAGTCACTGAACCAAACTGTAAACCCTGTATATGATAGAAACCACTTCAAGCCCAGGTGCACCAGAACCCTCAGCAACTCTGGTTCCAGCACCTATGCACACAGGTGCAGGGATCTGCCCATGGAGATCATTTTACAGGACTGGCTCCTTTATTAGTAAAATCTGGACTCATTAAGTCTATACTGAATGATGGAAAACTAGTTACTCATGAGGTCAAGCTTCTGGGTTGTATGTATCTATTCATCCATCTAGGTTCTTTACGGTGATGAGTGCCTCCCCAGAGTAAAATCACCCTGCAGTAGAATAGCTTTCTTCAAGTATTTAGAACTTATGTAATTGCAGATTTTCCCCATAAAAACATTTTCTAGCTGCACGGCTTTATAAAGTAATGAATAAATACAATGGCATCTTAAAAAGTTCCAACTACCTTAATCATATTTGATACTAGTCTATCATTTTGTTTTGCTAACATTTACTAAAGAATGAAACGGCAGAAATCAGAATAATTTTGGTTATCATTAAAATACTGTGTATAAACTGTTAGAGTAAGGCATTCTCAACACGAACTTGAGGAACATATAGTTTCATGGCCACTAGAACTAATATTTCAATTTCTTACCAGGATTAGTGGAATGTTTTTGCATATAAATCTCTATAGTATATTCTCCTTGTAAACACTTTATAAATATTACTGATAAAAAGCTCAACATTTCAAATGTCATTTTAAAAGCATTGGCTTGACATCAGTTCCCATTCATTTACTGTGGGATTATGATTTGGAAAGGAAACAGTTTCAAATAAATGATCTCTAGAAGATGCCTACTTCTGTAAAACAAAACTAACTAGTATTCATTTCAAACGTCACCTCTAAACACTCTCTAAAGGTATATGAAGTGTATGCATTAATGTAAGTAGTATTTACTCACTCTCATGTTTCACTTGTTGGTATTACGGCAAATAACACTGTATCCATGACATGCCTGATGCGACAATTTACTATTTTCATAAGCAGTCACATGCATTGAAGTTAGGACCACCAGCTGGTGCATTTTGCACTCCAAAGCAGAGCCATCAGAGAGGCCAGGCTTACAAATCTTTCTTGCTGAATGGCAAGATAGCTGGTGCATGAAATGACAGATCTCAGCTGAAAGAAGAAAGCAGATGACCTAAGGCTTCTCTTCAGATGCTGCTTCTCCTTCCTGAGTAGGTTTCTCTTCAGGTTCACTGTCTTGCACTGGAGATGGATTACGGCTGGGCTTATTGCTGTCGTGGCTGCTGTGACCACTTGCACTCCCAAGACGCGTTGATGCCACAACAGCTTTCACCGCAGCCTGACAAAGAGAGGCAATTTCAATAAAATCCACGGCATAGAACACCACCCGAGTCTCATACGAAGAGGGGTACACTAAATTAGTACATTTAGCTAATAAAATGAATTATTAAATTATTTCAAATGTTATGACATTTGAAACAGACACTATTTCTGAAGTCTAAATCTCGACTAGTATTAATAGAAAAAAATTTTCAGATGTTTCTGAACCTAATTTAAAAATAAAATACACCTATCCACATGAGAGGACAAAAACCAAACTTGTGTTTTTCCATAAGTATATTCACACTGATTATTTCACAAAATATGCCCCAGGTGAAGTGGCTGCTATTATTATTAATTATTATTTATGTTTATTATAGTAGTGTCCAAAACCTGCTAGGTTCTGTATAGATATATAGAAAGACTCTGGCACAGATCCTTGCTGGTGTAAATTGTCACTGCTCCAATTTACACCAGTTAGGATCTGTCCCTTGATCCCTGCCTGGTAAAGTGGATATTCTTAAAAAGCAAAAACATATGTACGGGGACAAGTGGATACTTGACCCAGTGAAGGAGGCAGCAGCCATGGAGGGATTCAAAATGTGGGATGACTTGCTCAGATTGATGGACTAGAAACAGAACATATTACCTGGTAAAATGATGCAAATTAAAGGTAAGTGTAATGACCTTTACTTTTGGTTCTACTAGTGTGTATACAAGAAGCAGTTCTGATCTACTGTGCTGGAATGAACATCAGGGTTAATTCTGAAGTTTTACAGTATTATAATTATTTTATTAACATATGGCTTTAGACAGACAAAGAAAAACTAAATAAGTCCTTACATTGGTCTTATATACAGGAGGTGGAGGTAATTTGATATGTATCATTACTTGTATAATTGTAGCCACATGTGTATTATTGTATATACACTTATTGATTCAGTACCTAGATTAGTATTTCATCTTTAGTGTTTTTGGAGAGAGATTTAGTTTTCATGCTATTAGCGATTTGGTAATTTTGTTCCTGATGGAAAAACAGTAAAGAAATAAACTTATAAAAAAACATAGTTCTAATTAATCTCAAGTCTTGGGTTTTTTTTAAAATGTGTCTAGTTCAGGAGTCGGCAACCTATGGCACGCGTGCCAAAGATGGCACGCGAGCCGATTTTTAATGGCTCTGCACGGAGCAGAACATGCTGCTAGGAGCCTCATGGTAAGGGGTCCAGGGCTGGGGGGGTTGGATAAGGGGTGGGGGCAGTCAGGGGACAAGGTGGGTTGGATAGGGGGTGG